AGTTAATACTTTAAATACTGATGATAGTATTGATTTGGTCAACATCGATCAATGACACCTCCTCACAACCTCACCCATAAACCACTCTTTCACCTACACTACCTTCCACGCCTACTCACCACCACATTCCTACAAATCACGTAAACCACATTGAATGTAGTCAGGTTGACAGAGGCTCAAATGCTAATAGAGTTGCCACTAGCAGCTCTGAATCTATAGCTGAATCATCTTTATTAAGCACATCTTTATCCTGCAGTTTAATCTCTATATGGGATGGAGGAGACAACAACCCTACTGGCAATGACAAGAAGAGGAAAAAGAAGGGTGAATCTAACCTTATCCAACCTTTTATACGCTTTACTGGTCTGCTCACTAAGGCTCTTGCCTAATGTTTTTTGCTGCATGGAACATCAGGGGTCTTAATTCCCCTGAAAAAACAAAGAGAAATAAAAAAGTTTACTTTTGAATCTAAACTCCAGATGTTGGCCATTTTGGAAACTAAGGTTCAGGAAGTTAACTTTGCCTCTATTCTCTACTATATCGCCCCTACTTGGCAATTGTTACATAACTATTCTTGCTCTGTTCTTGGTAGCGTTTGGCTTTTAAAAAATCCCACAATTCTCCAAGTCCAAAGGCTTTCTATAACTGACCAGGCCATCCATTGTATTGTGACTTTGCTGGAAGATTACAATCGTATGTTTGTGTCTACCATTTATGCTTTTAATATTGCATCATAGAGAAAAAGCCTTTGGAGTGATCTAGCTATCCAAGCCCCTTGTTTTGCTCCTTCTCCATGGATTCTCTTAGGAGACTTCAACATTATCAGGCATCCCAATCAAAATTTTAGGGGCTCTCAGAGATGGAACCAGACCATTTACGAGTTCAACCTCTGCATCCAAATTGTCTAACTTAAGGTTTAGTGGTATCCTTCACACTAGGACCAACAAAAGTGAAGGTACTACCAATGTGTCCAAGAAGCTTGAGTGCTTACCAATGACAATTAGCTCAACCTCTCTCCAACTGTGTCTTTCTTCCCTATGGTTTATTTGACCATTCTCCAATGGTTATCAACACTGGTAATACAAGCCCAAATAAGAACATATCCTTCAAATTCTTCAACTTTCTTGGCAACCACAGTAAATTCCTTGACACTGTCACATATGTATGGTCTCAAACCATTCATGGAAACACTATGTTTCAATTCACAAATAAGCTCAAGCTCTGTAAGCACCAATTGAAACTCCTTAACACTAAGGAGTATAGTGATATCTCAGCTAGGGTCCTTAAAACTAAGAATGCCCTAAACAAATGTCAAATTGATTTAGATTCCAATCCAATGGACCACCAGCTAAGGCAGACATAGAAATATCTCTTATAGAAATACCATGATTTCTTCACAGTTGAAGAACACATTTTCTTGCAGAAGTTAAGGGTTAAGTGACTAAAAGAAACTGACGAAAACACAAGTTTTTTCCTTAAGTCCTTCAATAAAAGGAAAATTATAAATTTTACTCTACCTAATGGTCAGTCCACTGACTCAATCCTTGAGATCAAGCATGAAGCTATAAGCTACTTCAAGAACCTTCTTTGCAGCCAAGTCAGTACATACCCTGGTATTGCCTCTCTCATAGTTTATTGGCTTGGAAAAAATTACTTAAACTAAGGAATGAGGTGAGACCTTTTTATTTATTTATTATTTTTTAAGGTTAAGGTGCGCAATGAAAATGATTTTTGGCATGAATAGGGGCATCTCTCTTTAAATCACGAGCCTCTAGCCTTGGTAGTAAGGCCATACTCTCAGTGGCAAATGCAGGTCAGAAGTCAGAACGTGCGCCCCATCAATTATTTGTCTGATCAAAGATTATGGGGTCTTCATCCACTTCTTGCACCTTGTGTAACAAGAACATGGAGTCACATTGTCATCTCTTCTTCAATTCTCCATACTCTCTCTTAATCTCAGAATACTTTGTCTAAAAACTGAACTGCAATTTTTTTTTTTGTCATGGTCTCACTTCATTACTGGAATTGGAAAGCTAATACCCTGTTTTAATGGTTCGAAAACTCACTCCTGCAGCCATGGTTTATTGTATCTGGATGGAGAGAAATTCAAGAATATTATGTCATTCTTCCAGGGAAGCCCCAGAGATCATAGCAAATATGACTTAGCCTTCAAGCAAATATGACTTTGCCTTCAAGAAAATTATACAGCAGTATTTAGGTGCAAGCAATAACTTCTCAAAATAGTTAGAAGGATGCACTTCTTTGTTTGAAAATTTTACTTGGTGCCACAATCGAAAGTCTTTTGAAAGGAAAAACTATTCATATGAAGATTTCCGTAAGACAAGCACCCCTCGTTAATTGAATCAAGAGGCTTTGTTGTATGTGTCTCATGATCCAACAAATGAAGGCGCGAGCTCTTGGTAAGACCACCACCATTATAAACTAATTTGTTTTGAAATTAGTTAAATCATAGTTAAAACCTTACTGAGACAGTTTGGTTTTTGGTGACAAGTGGATTGCTGGGTCGAGAGTTGTATCTCCTCTGCAAGGTTTTCTATACTGGTAAATGGTGTTCCTGCAGGCTTTTTCAAGTCAGAGAAGGGTCTTTGTCGAGGATGTCCTGTATCTCCTCTCCTATTCAGCCTAGTTACAGAGTAGTTTTCTAAGCTTGTGGATCAGTAACTTCAAAATGGGGAGCTTGAATTTAGTCCTGAAGTGAGAAATGCGGGGTTTCTGATTGACTCATTTCTTTTTGCAGATGATTTGATCATTTTCCTAGGTTCAATGTCAAATGCTGTTACTTTGCTGGATGTCTTTGATACCTTTAAGCAGGGTTCTGGTCTTCATGTGAATTTTGAAAAAAGCCGCATTTTCTTCTCTCAATATGTTAGAAGAACTAGAGGTATCTTAAGAATTTTGAAAGTCCAAAGAGTCTACCTATGACTTACCTTGGTTTACCTTTGATCTCTGGTGCAACTAAAAACTCTCAGGGCCTCTCATTGACAGGATTACTTATAAGTTGGCTTCTTGGAATGGGCTCTATAGAAGGAAGGGTAGAGCTTATCAAATCTGTGTTGTCTTCTTATGGCTATTATTGGTCCTCTGTCTTTGATCTTCCAGTTAAAGTGATGAGATTTTCTTTGGGGATCTTCTACTGAGAGGAAGAAGATGCGTCATCTGAAGTGGTCCAAAGTCATTCTTCCTAAATTGGAATGGGGTATGGGAATTAGGAGAATTTCATACATTAACAAAGCGTCAAAAAGTGTGTTGGTCTCGGATTTTCTTCAAGGTAAGGATTCTCTATGGGTGGCTTGGTTCAAGATCAAATATGAGAAGAAGATATCTTACTGATCTTGCAATATTAAGAAGTCTGATTCTGCAATTTGGAAGAGCATTTTTACAATGGCAAAAGTGGTTGGCTTTCTGTGTTCCTTAAATATTGCAATCTGGAAAAGATGAGTACAAAATTGTCTGTTGAAGGGTAGAAGGTTATGGATAGTGAAATTAACCTCCTCTAGCTTCTTGGCATGAAAAAAATTACTCAAAAGAAATGAGGTGAGACCTTTATTTTTTTATTTTTTAAGGTTAGGGTGTGCAATGAAAATGATTTTTGGCATGAAGAAGGGCCTCTCTCTTTAAATCATGAGCTTCCAGCCTTAGTAGTTAGGGATGTTAACTACTTTGACTTTAGGCCTAATAATCCCTTGAAGCTTGGCTTGAGTGTCTCTAAGGCCTATGTCAAAATGAATAAGCTATGATCAATTGCTGATATGAATGTCTTTTTCCTTAGAATGCTTTTGGATTTGGATATTAATTATTGGTGTGCTACAAATTAGGTTATGGAATCCGAAATGGACTTATTATTACTTTGAATGGACTATAAATGGATAATCTTGATGTTTTGTTAGGGATGTTAAGGTATGTTTATGTGATGTTGTATAGGATTAAAAATGTGTCCTCATTTTTCTAATAACATGCTCTCTCTGGGGTAACATACTTAGAAAGCTTGGTGAAGCTTTTTCATGGATGAAATCTCAGCTTGAAACCTCCTACAAGTTTGTGTCAATGAAGATAACTGCAGCAGTTGATGCTATCAAACAATTTGTCATCAAAATGAAGAACTGTTTCGGTTCTGCAATGGCGAAAGTGGTTGGCTTTCTGTGTTCCTTGTTTGGCAAGTCTTCTTCGCCAACGGAGGAGATGAAGGAAAAGCTGCATTCTTCATCCAAGAGTACTTTGCTCAATTATCAACTTGATAATGAGATTGACCGGCTTCTGGAGTTGCTAATTATGTTTTGTGCTAATCAACCTGAGGAATTAATCAATTGCTGAAATGAAAGTTGATTAATTTCCTTTTTTATATGGTTTATTAAATATTGGTGTGACAGAAAGTAGGTTTTGGAAACTAAATAGGCTTGTTTGCTTGTTACTTTATATGGGATTATTATCTTGATGTTTTGATTTGCTGGTTTAGTAACTTGTTTATATCAAATGAGTCATTTAACCCGAGTATTAAATATTGGTTATGAGGGGAGGGGGAGGGGAAGGGGCGGATAATTTTAACCCCTTGTCATGTTTGGTTGATTAATGAAGAAAAAGAAAAGAATGAATAATAATCATGTTTAGGGAAAGAAATAAAAGGAAAGAAAATTGTTTTAATAAATTTATTATTATATTTTTTTCTATTTCAAAAGATAAATTTATAAATTTAACTATGCAATATAAAATAAATAATAATTTGATAAAAATAATATTGTTCTTTTGAATTCATCTTATATGCTGGATAGGAAGGAGAAAAAAAAAAAAAAATGTATGCCATATTGGCAACAAAAAAATGTTACTATTTTAATACAAATGAGTTAAATTAAAAGTTACAATAAAAAAAAAAATAGAACTAAAGAATTCATAATATTTATGTGACAAATACATCAAAAATATGAAACAATTATTATTTCTGTGATAAATTATAAAACTCCTCGCAAATAGAATGCAGAAACAATTATTTCAGCCTCCCAATCGCCTCCATCTCGAAATTTATAGGCCATGCAGATGTGGAGTGTTAGTGTTTGTGTTGTTTTGGCTTGTATGTCTTTGCCAAAAATAAAAAAAATAAAAAAATAAAAAAATAAAATAAAAAATTAGGGCAAATCATTTCAGCCTCCCCAATCGCCTCCATCTCTATTCTCGTTCTCAACTCTGAACTTGCCCTCTCTCTCTCTCTCTGCAACTGCAAACTACAAAATCTACAAGAATCAGAAGTTCAAAACCCATACATTTCAGTTTATCTATCAGTCTGCAAGAATCAAAAGTTCAAAACCTATTACCTATATCAAAACCCATATAGGCATATCATTTCAGATTGTTCAAAAAATCAAAACCCATATCTTTCAGTTTCCTCGCCCGCTGTTCCAGTTCGGGTTCGCCGTTCGCAAGCTTCAGCCGCTGGCCCGCTGTCTCTCAACTCTCAAGCTTGCCCCCCTCTCTCTGCAACTGCTAACTTGTATGTATGGGTTTTGTTTATGTATGGGTTTTGTTTTAATTTGTTTTCTAAATCAACTAATCAAGGTCTGCAATTCTTGTTATGCAAACTAAAATCAAGTGTAGAGAAAAACAGTACAGTAGAATGGACCAAATCGACTCCCGCCAAAAACCGTGACAGGGGGGAGAGGGGGAAAATTTTTTGGGGAGAGAGAGAGAGAGAGGAAGGTGTTGCAACTCGCATGGCGAATCCATATCCCAATCTAAATCAGAAAACTTTGAAGGCCACCACCATCTGTTCCTCGTTCATAAAAAATGTAGGTGTTATCCCTTTTCATTAATCTTTATGATATATATATATATATATATATATATATGCATGATTATGTGTATAAATCTTACTCTTGCCATTCTTCTACAGGTGTATTTGCATGATTGGTGGCTGATTAAGGCTGATTTGGGCTCCGGAAGCAGACAATTAGGCGTTGGAGGGTTTTCGAGTAGAGAGTAAGAGTTGCTTTCTTTCCCAATCTTTATTTATCTTGAAATTTTGGTCTAATTTTTGAGCAAATTTCAGCTTCCTAGATCAACATTTGAAGTGATTGAGAGAAATTAAATGAAACCCAAGAAGGGTTTTCACATGTTTGTAGTGTTTTTAGAACAATTTTGAATTCCATTAGAGTAAGAAGATTAGGGTTTTTTTTATTGAAAATTTTGATGGGAAAATATGGATTCCCCTCCCCCTCCCCTCCCCCTATTTCAGTTGCTCCTTCAGTGGCCATGTCAAATATATAAGTCTAAATGATTATTCTAATAAATCTGGAAAAACTGCATAGTATGGCCCTGACCATCAGAAGATGTTTGATATTTACGGTGCATGCCTCATGCTCAATTGCAATATTTACTTGTAATTTCTTACAATCAGTCAATTTGCGGTGCTCAGTTTCAGTGTAGATGGTGCTTCAAGACTAATGATGCTTCATTTTTCTGTTTCCTTCTTTGGGCGCTACTTGGATATGAATTCTTAGGTATATGTCATCAGAAACACTTTAAGTAATTCTCTTTGCCATCAACAATTCTCATGCTGATATTGCATGAATTTCAGTCGAATATATAAAGTCAAGCTTTTTCTCATTCTGCTTTCTCATACCTTTAATTAAATCTCATTTTATTTTTCGTAGACATCTTCAATACTTTCCTCCCTTTAAAAGTTAGGTCTGCCTTCCATTTTTTGTTTATCTTTTTCCAAAAGTTAATACTAAGCTTGGGATTCATCTTTTAATAGTGTTATATAACTACGATTTATAAACGGAATTTGTATTATTGGTAATGTATTTGTTTTTATTTGATTTATACACATTGGTAAATTTTATTTCTTTCCTATTATGTTTATTTAATTGAACTGCGAGTCTTCCCCAAGTACTCCAAATGTTCAAAAGTTACAAACTTACAGTACAGTTTGTCAAATGGTATGACCAAGTAACTAGTAAAAAGTGAAAACATAGCTAAGAATAGTTTAGGTTTGATAGTGAACCTCAATTCGCAAGAGATTAGGGCTTGTTCTCTGAAAACTAGGTAGATGGAATGATTAATCCTGAAATGTGATTCTAAAATAAAACTACTGCTGTTTTGAGTTTACAGTTTATAGATCAATTAATCTAAATTGAATGGTTTAGCTCGGCGAAACCACTGATCATCATATTGCCATAATTCTGATTTGACCTTTATATTCTCTCTAGTTTTTCTTTCTTTTGTTGACACCATAAAGGTTGCTTCTACTCTGTAGTCTGCAGCTTATATACCCTGATAAGATGATTATAATGATGATAATTCTCTTTAGTCATTTTCTTCTTTAATTTAATTTATAGGTGCCCAACATATTGTAATTTTACATCCTTTTAGAAAAAAATTTGTACTATTATTTCTTATAGAAATGTGAGTTTTTGGTAAAAATTGTTTCACTTTGTGGTTGTTGATTGTCAAGATCTATAGCTTAGACATCATCAATTGTTCCAAACTTCCAATAACTGCTTATTGGACTTCCTACCACAGGAGTCGAGGAATAAGAGCTTTTCGAGCTGCAGCAATTGCCAAGAGGCATGACACTGTCACTCTTGAGACGGTTGATGGCATCACGGTTACACTTAGTGGTTTCATAAATAGGTCTCTCACACTTCAGAGTGGCTTTCCATCTGAGGTGAGTTAGTTGAGTGAATCCTTTTGGTTTCAGTACCTTCAGCCTTCTACGCTAATGTGATGATCATATCCTGCTTCATAATATTTCATGGGTACTATATTTAGGTTTCACAAATGACAAGGTTACTATGAGTACATATATGCATCACCCATTAATGGTCATTGGTTTGAGGAATAGCTACATTAAAATGTATTTTCCTGCTACTATTGTATCCAATAATCTGTTTCTAGTTGCTTCTGGGTAACTCTCCCCTCCATTTCTCTGTCCTCCTCTTTTTGAATAAGAGCAATGATATATCCTGTGAATTCGGAGGATGCCAAATAGGGGATATATGAGTTGGGGTGTCGGCCCCCACCACGTGACATCACCTTGACATCATATGGTGGGGCCCACACCCCCACTCACACAATACTCAGTCGGCATCCTCCAAATTTGGAGGATGTATCATTTTTCTTTTAATAATATTTTAATTCTGATCTTGAATTTGAGTATCAAGGGAAAGATCCGTAATATATAGATGCATCTATGACAGACATTGCTAGATTTTAGTTTCTGTATTTAAAAGTAGCTCTTTTACTCTTCCCCCAAACATCTTTCCAAATGGAGTCGAAATTTGAAACTCTTAATTTGAACAGGTTTGCAATCATTTCCTTTTTGGGTTTCCATATTGCTGGGAAGTGTATGCTGCTCGATGTTTTGGTGAAGAATCTACCAGTAGAGCTGTTCCATCAAGGGTTTCTAGTTTAGATGGGTTCAACATGTCTTCCAATGATGGTTCAAACAGTTCTCCGCCAATTTGTTTGGATGATCTTCCAGTGACTCAGATACGTGATATCGTAATGTCCACCCTTGATGATTCTGAAAATTCTTTGTTAGCAAAGAATATTTTCAGTGATATGCTGCGGGAATACGGTGGCAACACTTTCAAAGATAACGGAGCATCATGTCACTCGAACACAGGAAAAAGTAGTCCAATAAAGACTGGTAATTCTGTACTGAATGAAACTCCAAGTGATAAAAAGCTTAAGGTCAAGCGGAAGTTTAGAAGTGATGACGGGATCTCACATGCAACAGATATGGGAAGAGAGATGGGTATCCCGAGCTCAAGTAAAGGTATCGCTACAAGAAGCATGACTAGATTGAAAAACTTAAAAAGCAAGCAAGAAGAGAATCTTTCAGTAAACCCGAACATAAAGCAAGGAACTTGTGAGCCAATTTCTGCATCAGAGGTCTCTGGGAATCAATCTGGAGGGATAAGAACCGGAAGTGATTCAAATATGAGTGATGCAGCCATAATAAGTGAAGAGGAAACAAAAGCCAAGGATTCCCATAATAGATCTACAGACAAAAAATCGGGTAAACTGAAGACTTTAAGTAAGTCATTTTCTAGATCAGAGGCCTCGAGGAACCAACATGTAGGGGTGGTAACTAGAGGAAAGAGTTCAAATGTATTATATGCAAGCATAGTATCCGAGCAGGAAAAGAAAGTCAAGGAAACCCCCGACAAGTCTGCAAAAAGAAGATCCAAGAGATTGAAGAATGTAATGAATGATCTGTAAAAGCCGAGAAAGCCAACAACTGAAACGTAAAATAGTTTTAGCTTAATGGATATTTATCCTGCGAAAGGCTATAAGTGTTGGAAACATGTCTATGAACTACATTTGCTCAAGTTACTTTTATTTTGGAGTTAAATTGAGATCTTATGTTAGAATTTTTCCACAGTGATGATGATCTATGTTATTTTGTTTTCATTCTATATAATGCCTCATTCTTATCAGTTATTTCGCGACAGTTCCTACTGAAAGCTTTTAGTATGTCTGTTGTGTTGCTGTGCTTGGCATTCTCAGAAAATGCTGCTTCTTATTGTTTCAGTTTTTGTCTTCTAATTAGAAAGAAGATAGTATTCATATATCGACCACACTTCGAAGCTTCATCATTTGCTCTGGTTCATATGGCAGTCTCTGATTCTAAGAAAGTTGCTAGACCTGTTGGTTATAATGTTAATGGAAGTCTCAATCTTTAAGTTTGTAAATTTAAATAAACAAGTTGACTAGGAGTTGAGGTTTTTGGTGATCAGCATACATGCACAGCTGTGGAACAAGTTCAAAATTTTCGAACTCGAATCCTTCCAGTTTGCTTCATTGCAAGTATCATTGCAAGTATTATCCTTTTTGCAGTGACGAATGTTATTATGATTATTGAATATTATGTTCAACTTGTTTATTTATTAACAAACTTAAATTTACAATAATAAAGGAAAAAGATCGATTTAGAAATATGAGTATATATCGTTTATGTATAAATTGTTACTTTAATTTAAAGGTAAAGTATGAAAGTAAAGGTCTGTACTAACAAACCTTTTTTCTTTTTTTTTTTGCTTAAAGATGGTATTAGTTGTTTTTTCTTTTTTTAAAATAATAATAATAATAATCACGTGTAATTCATGTTTTGGAAACGGTTGTAAAAACTTATTTAAAGTTACTTTAGTTACAAAATGTTTTGTCAACTTACTATCACATGTAAACAGATAATATATTTATCAACTTCCTTAAAAAATAGATAGTGCACTAAATAAACTCAATGACTTTAGTGTACTAAACTTAATGACTTTTTTTTTGTATTTTAAAAATAATAAAAATGTTTTAAAATAAGAAGAAAAAAAACATAGACTTTTATAATGGTATAAGATAAATTGGTGAATAAAATTAGAAGAATTGGAAAATCTTTTATGCGATCAGAAACCTAGAGTCTTATTATTCGAGTTCGTATTATGTGCCAGAATTTCAATTAGGCAACTTATTTTCTAGCTGTACATGTTGTGATGTCTTCCTTTTGATTCTTAATCCCTTCTGTAAGCCACAATATGAGTGATCGTCCTCTCTACTATTTTGATTGACAAATCTAAGTGTTTTTTTATTTATTATCAAGATTTCAATTTTTTAATGAGCCTCTTCAAAGAATCCCTTTTTTACCTTCCATTTTTCCATGGATTTTTTTTTTTTTTTTTTTTTTTTTGGGTAGAAAAAATCTCAAATTCTAATTTTATTACCACTCCCTACTAAATGCACAAAAACAGAGGCAGCCTTGATAAAACTCCCAAAGGAAAAATTATATAATAAATGGACATTTGACCTTCAATTTAGTATCAGTTGATTTTGTAACCAAAGCCTACCTTTAAATAAAGAAAAAAAATTAAAATTAAAAAAAATCTAACCAGAGTTTCAGCCAAAAATCCCATGATTTTGGTCTATCTAGGCTTAAAAAATGTTGAACTCTAGTCTACCATACTGCCTGGGATAGCAAAATCATGAAACAAAATTACTAGGGGATGCAGTAAAACTGTAAGATAATTGGGTTATTTATATATTTATTTATGATTATAATAAAATCTAACTCATCTTACTAAGGAATCAACCTAAGAGAAAACTATTTTATTTCTGTTTAACAAAAGAAAATAAGAAATTGTAGGCATAGAAGGAGATGATAACAAATGATTAATGTTATACTTCAATTGCTTAAAAAATTAGTCTAATACAATACGTTGATACGTAATTATTATTTACATTTGCTTGTTCTCCTGATAATTGCCAACACCTTCAGTAGTCATCTGAGAGAGAGAGAGAGAGAGAGAGTTATGTCTGATAAAATCAACATGAGAAACATATGCAAAGATGGTAACATAAACAACTAATATACATGTACCATGCATGGAACATGAATCCACATTTCCCTACCATAAATTTCATACATATACAAAATTTAGCCAAATAATCCAACCTAGAAAATAGATATAGCACGGATAACTCAAAGGAATAGCCCAATAATGGCAATATTCTTAGGAGGTTGGGAGTTCAAGTTCCCTTGGGGCGGCCCCAAGAAAATTCCCCGGTGCTTGCCCAGGGCATATAGAACGGGGACTGCATGCTCCCACTAGTGGACTAGGGGTGCTCTAACAGGCCAAACCCCACCATCACCATGTCGACAATATATATATATATATATATATATATATAATAGAAAATTTTGTTAATTTGACAGTCAAGACGGTAGTTTCTGGCTATAGCTCATGCCTGCTTCCTGTTCTGGTAGTTTTGTTGGTATGAATGCGAACAATTATTAAGAAATACGAGATATGGTGGGAATGCAATATATAAGACATGGGGAAATTTTTTAGAAAAAAACAAAGAAAATTTAGACATCACAGAGAGGCCCTCATCATTTTGTCTCTAGAAATATGGTGTATTTCCGTTTTTACCCCTATGGCTATATTGAGTGGAAAACATGCAAAATCTTATCCCAGTGACAAAAACATATCATCTATAATTGGAAAAGAGATGCAGTTTAACACGATAAATGTTCCTGTATCTAGATTTTGCAGCAAAAGTTGAGAAAGAAGCATGTGGATGTACCAGACCCAAAGCTTCTGCCACACTTCTATGGCTCTCTTCGCCACAAACTCCAACAAGCATCTTCATCAAAATTTCCCTTTGTTCCACTTTTAAATGTTTCTCAAGGCCTCTAGCAACCATCTCCATCTCAGGCTGCAGAAAGAGATCCCTCATTATGTACAACAGATCACAATCAGTTTCCCTACCAGAGAAACTGCATATTAGCTATAAAACAGTTCGTATGAACTGGAAAGTTGCTGAACAGAGAATCTCCTCATGGTCAGAAGTATTTTTAGAAAATCCATGCAGGATACTTGCAATGAAAAAGCTAAAAGGAGAGTGAAATAAAAGCACGGGATTTATTGAAACTATCAGACATGTACAGTGTAGAAACCTTCACTTTTTCAAAGAAAGAAAAAAGAAAAAAGACTTCATTGAATACTTCCCTACTTTCCGATATAAGGCGTGGACTGGAAAAGGAAGGAGGGAACAAAAACAAAACTAAAAAATTATAAAAGAGTAAAAAATAATTTCTACGATACCTGGGGAGGTGGGTGCAAAAGGACTACTTAACAGCATTTAAGTAACATATTCATAAAAGAGTGCATTTGTACTGCTTAAAGGCTCTAAAAGGACAACAAGAGCTGAAAAACGACCTCGGTTGAAGTCACGAAAAGGAGGAATGGAAATGTCTTATCTGACAAATTGATGCAAAGCTATAAACTTAGTCCTTGAGAGAATGCTAGGTCAATATTAATGGTATCACATGATAACGAAAAAAGAAATTGCATGGATTATTCAAGCTGCACAATGGAGGGAAGCAGAGAGTTATATAGAATGGAAAAAAGTAGAGGGCATACAGTTCTGTTAATTATCAAATCGATACTTCCAGTTTTCAATAAAAGGTGAACAATTTCCATATGCAATATATAAGAGAGAGAGAGAAAAAGTGATAAGATAGTTTTTCCGAATGAGTCGTGACAAAACCAAAGCACATACCGAACACTCTTCTGGAGGAAATATCCTGTGAAAGAGACATATCTTTGATAGTTCCATCACTGCTTCATAATTTTTACCTTGCATTTCAAAAGCCTGAAATCAAATGGATACCACATAGTAAATAAACTATTTTTAATCAAGAAGCCAAAAGCCATCAGAAGAACCAAAACATGTTTTTCTCAAGAAAAGAAAATTGTAAATGTTCCAAGGATTTTGTGACAGATTTTCAATTACAACATTTGCATAGCTTTAGAAGCATTTGAATTATTATGTTTTAATCTTTTTCTTTTCTATATTACTTAAAAACTGCAAATAACATCTACTTATAAAGAGAGAACGTTTAATATCTCATATTTTCAGCAGTAGCAAAAAACATTAAGCATAAATGCCTTTGCTAATGATATAGTCAATAACAGAAGTGCTGGCACAAAACATCATCAAATTCCAAGTATGAGAATGGAAAAACTTACCCATGCCTGTAAAAAGGATGAACGTGTGCGTGCAGCAACAGCTGCAGACACAATTCTAGCAGCGCGCATGCTCTCAAGCCTGATGTTATCAGCAAGCCCAGCGATGAATTGCCGGGCATCCTCACCATAAATCTGGGCGAAGGTAGAGTAATTTGCCACTCTCGAACACACCAAAACAAGTTATAAAAATGTGAGAAAAGAATAAGTGCGTTAGATAGACTAGTAATAAGCAATTGGCAAGTATGCATGACTTATGCGAGCAGAAAACCAAATACCTGCTGCAATTGTTTAGAACAAAATCAACCGAAGCACGATAAATTGAATTCCGTACATTGATTGTGTCAATGAACACTCTCACTCCAGAGGTCCTGCATATTTGACGCAACTGCTCACCCATACAGACAAGAAAAATAAAGTGCATTATCAAAGGGTCAGCTTATGCACAACGTATTACAATTACAGTTTACAAATTCTCTAAGAAAGTAATTCTAAAATTGATGTGATATCAACTCAATCTAGTAATAATTTGTTTTCTCTGAACTTTTATGGTTAAAATTGACAAAATTTAATGAAGAAAGAGATCATTGTTAACTAGGTTAAATTTCATTTTGGGCATAGATGATGCCTTTAATTTAAGTACTGATTTTTGGGTTGGCAAACCGCATGAAAAGTCAGAACATTTGGGATGTTTGGCTAGGTCTCGTCATGCCTTACTTCTGTCTCTGTAATAAGAGGGAAACTCCCATGGGTGAAGTTGAAGTAAATCATTAGGAGAGCTTTTACTTTGAAGAGCCCCATCAGATTAGGGGGTGGTCCTCTTCGTTGACTTCACAGAGGGAAAAGGAAATTGTTTTTCATTCAAGAAAATGGGAAATTTTCTATACAAATTCATTACAATGGTTTATTACATTAAACATGTGCACCAATTTACAGATATTTTAGTTTCATTTTTAGAAAATAATCGAACACGCGTCCAAGGGCAAAAGAAAGGTGAGAACAATCCCATTCAGCCCTAAAACCAGACCAGCAAGAACATAAGAATTTTTTTTTCCTACTTGAACATAAGATTGTTTGATACGCAACATAACTAACCTTATCCTATTTTTCTTCTTAAGTTACTGTTCAAGGTGTTCACAGCTCCAGTACAGCCCCTACACCATTTCCGATATCCTATTATGTTAACCCTAACCAATCCCAATTTGTTCCTACCTTTTTGACTTTTCTAGTAACATCTAGAACTCTGAAATAGTTGTTATTGAGAATTTCCAGCAATTAGGTATCCCTTTTTATGTAGTTTCACCATAAGTTCACAAATTTACAAGTTCATTCCGTAACATCTAAAACCCTGAACTTTCTATTACCAGGAACTAATCTTGTGAAATACGAATCAATTAACACTAAATAACATCAAAGCAAGCCAAAATGCCCCACCAGAAAAGAATCGTTTTTTAGAATTTTTAAAAAAAGGATCATAAACAATGTATGGGAAAAAAAATTTGTACCTACATGATTATATATGAATAAAAAAAACACCTAAAAAAAGTGTTTCACAAGGAAGGGGGGAGAGAGAGAGGGAGAACTCCTGAAGAAATTAGGAATAAATTTTATCTATGAGTACGATGTATTCTTTTTTTTTTTTTTTTTTTTTTTTTTTAATATATAGATATCTATGAGTATGATGTATTCAGTTGGAAGGCAGAGAAAAGGGACTAAATACATAGTAAAAAGAAATTTATCCACAGCAATGATAGAATGAGTTAGTGCATGTATATAGTAATAATTAAATAAGTCGCAGAAACACTGACTTGAATAATATCATCCTCCAAAATGTCCTGTCCGCTCATTCTATTGTCCATGATCGCTGGAAATCAAGTCGATAAGCTGTGATTCGATGAAGAAAAGCATGACCATAATACTTGTAGAAATTTGAGAATATACATTGTTACCTAGATCAAAGCAAAAAACCCAACTATAAAACCACATCTAATGCAAACCATGCATGGTAGAAGTATGTAAAAGAGGAAGGCATATGAGGCATATGAGAGGAAGGCATATATGACCAGGGTCTCAAGAAACACATCTAAAGTCTAAACATCAAGTTAGATGGAGGTACAGCTGCGGGTCAGAAAATAACTTTATCTCTCATTGATGAACATGAGAGAGAAAGTTCCAATGAAATACACATTTTTTGTTGGACAAAGTTCCAATGAAATATATTTTATAAAAAAAAAAAAAAGAACAAAAAAAAAAAAGAAAAGAAATGGGGCCAAAAAGTTGGGTCGGGGTTAGGCTAAGCACCTATAGTAACATCTATACAATCAACCCCAACTCAAATCCATTTTTAGACAAGTGAAACCCATCAGAAAGCACATCGATGTCTAACATAGTAGAAGGCCCGACAAACTGACCCACATAGCTCATCTACTCCCAACTACTTCCAATTCTACTTGAAAACAAGCCAGAAATAAGAAATATATATTCTTTAGTGAATAATATGTCATTCAATATAACTAAATATGTATGTTACAAGTATCTATCAGTTTACCAGTCAATCACAATGTTAAAGAACTTAAAGTAAAAGATGAGACTGATGACACAGGAATTTTATCAATCATAGTAGTCACAATGGTGGTACAATGACGATGCAAGTTAATAAAGGTGATGCTGATGGTGGCATGATGACTATGTTGATGACTGTTATAAAGCATAAAACGGAAGCGAAGAGACAAATGAAACAAGTAGAACACATAGATATTACGTGGTTCAATCACTAGGGCCTACATCCACGGCACAAAAAGCCCAAAGGGCTACATCACTTTTATAATACTCTCTCAATTCATATACAATACAATGGTGGAGGCTCCTTTACTCAAGTTGGAGCATGAATGCCCAAGTTTCCATTGAGATGACAAGTAACAACAAGTGTGAATGATGAAGAGAGGACAGAAGACAAAGAACAATGCTACCGAACACATCGACAACCCAAACAAGTCAACAAAAAACTGTCGGAGACACGGCAAAGGCGAGGACAATGCTACCTAAAGAAAAATTAAACGAGAAAAACACAAAAATATTACGTGGTTCAGCCACTAGGGCCTACATACACGGCACAAAGAGCCCAAAGGGCAACATTACTTTTATAATACTCTCTCAATTCATATACAATACAATGGTGGAGGCTCCTTTATATAGGAGAAGAAATTATGAGAATGGAAAGAATTAGAAAATAGAAAACATGGAGGATTTTTCTCTACTGTTTCCTCTAACAACACCAAATCTTCAATAATAGGAAACAACATCAATTACTGAAAAAAATTCCTCCACAATAGTAGCACAATAGCATTAATGAGACATTGGCCACAAAGGAGACAATTACAGTGCCTCGGTGAAGGTGAATCTGGGTTTTGCTATGAATCGGATGATGGCTAACAGTGAGGGATCCAAAGTTTGTAGGTGATGTGTTTGGACCAAAGAATGACCCAGGACCGCAGTGCAAGAAAGCAGCATGATGCAGCTGAAGAGGACTTGAAATTTGCTCCTATACCAATTGATGCAGTAGGAGGAGAAGTATGAAATCTGATTAATTCTTCAAATATATATTTATATTTGAACTCTAAAGAAGAAAATACAAAATAACCCTAGAATCCAGACTCTAAAGCCTTGTGTCTATGTTTAGCATATGTGTGGACTGTGCAAGACACATTGGTCCTATCCAAATCCCCATCAACAAAAGACTTCACAAAGCTCCGAGACATGACTAAAAGTGGGGAAGTTTTAAAGTAGAAAACTACTATAGTTGCAAAAAAATATGAACATAATTTGAGGTCATTTTTATATATGTTAAATTGTTAAAGCATAATTATCCATATGCAATTGTTAGTATAGACTAGGATAAACAAGCAAGGTTTATAAATTGTACAATGTTACATGGACTTCTAATTGTATGTACTATGAAATCACACTGGTATAACATACGTGTGGAACATGTCTAGTCTGATACACATAAAAGCGTGTCGGCACTTGGCAAGTCAAAATTTTCCACATTACTATACAAATAACATTCTTATTATGTACGTATCAATATGTTAGCTTCAAAAAAAAAAAAAAAAAAAAAACACATACTAAACACTACATATATACATAAACAAACCACTTCAACCTAGGAAATTCAAAGAAGAATATTAAAGGGCAAGAACATCAAGTTCTCCTTATATCCTTAGATTTGGTAATAAGGTAGATCATGTGACTAAAGACGTATCCATACCTTACACGCATATTTGAGACCATGTAACACAAGATCAAATTATATAATTAAAAATTTTAACATACGCTTTTGAAAGGTTAAAATATTATTTTATGTTATTTTGTCCAAATTCTAATTTTTTCACATTTTGTCATGTTGTTTATCCGCATTATCTGTCCATGTCATGAGTTCATGTCCATGTCCATGTTATGTAGGCCTGCTTCAAAGTTGCAACAAAGAATATCTAGCAAAAATATTTCCTTTTCAAGTCTTGATATAAATTATCCTGAAATTATAGTGTTCCTTTGTCTCCAGTCTGAAAATTACTTAACTGGCCTTTTCTCCAAAATTTATCTTGCTGTAAATGATGGTAATGACAGCAATGATTCTGACTACTTTATTGAACCTTCTTTTATTGCATCATGTGACCTATTTTGGATCTAGTTTCAATTGTCTTTTTCTGATGAAATATCCTTCATCATAGTTGTTATTAAGGTAAGTTGGGACTCATCCATTATATTTGATATTTAAAAAAAAAAAAAAAAAAGTATCTTAGTTGTTTGGTAATATGAATGACTCCTTCACACAGACTTTCTTCCCAAAAACTCCAATACCCAATAAGGTTGCCTTATCATTTGCTGAGCTTGATTGGACAAGATCTTGAGACAGATGATTTGACGTCTATGGGAACAACAGGCTAAGAAGTGCTTTTGACCGCCTTATATTGTCAATGTATCCATGAGCACTAAATCAAGCCTCGAGTATGGACAGAGCCATACACTTTCTTTTCTTGATCTTCATTTTCACAACACCAGCTCCTTTACTGATCAAGATATCAACCAGAATGACGAAACAAGCCACAGATTCCTAGAAGGTCCTAAGTGCCCTCTTACTCAAACAACACCACTATCAGAGAAAGGCCTTTAACGCTGCAATGCAAACTAAGGGACTTTAGAAGGTACTTTGACCTACAAAATGTCCTTCCAAGGGAACTCAGGGCTCTACCTGCCATCCAAAAATCTATAAACCAATCTCACGCCAAACCAACCTTCTTATTAGGGCACCAATATAAAACATCAAATTTCTCCCACACACACCAAAAAACCATATAGGAACTCAAAGAAGGCATCCATAAATTCCACTTTCTAATCTTGAAGAGGGTAAAAATATTGAGGCGCCCAAGTGACCAAAATGGCAAAGATGGATGTGTGACAAGTAGACAAACTCCAAAGCATTCTCTTTATATTAGCAAGTTTCCCTCTAATTTACAGTACTCTCTTCCATCCTGCCAACCAACTCTCAGCCCTCTTGACTACTGAATCTCAAAGCTGGATCGCCTTGAAGAAAGCACAAAGAGGCAAGCCTAAATAAGAAAAATGAAGGAATCCCAACTTGCACCTATTTAAATAATTTCACTTTTTGCCAGATTAATCACTAAGCTTAACACAACTAGATCTTTTAGTTTTTACTTATCAAAAAAAAAACTAGATCTTTTAGTATTGGACTACCAAAGATGACATTAATGTCGATCAATAGAAGACAAGATATTGAAATAGGGAGGCCTCCCGTCATACTGACCTAAAACCCTCCTAAAAAGTAACCACCCACCGACCTTTACTAATGCATCTGGTATATTGAATAAAACTTTCTTGTAGCATTAAAACATATGTATAAGAAAAATAGAATTAAAGATTTGTATAAAATTTACCCGAAGTTTGAAAATATTGGAAAATATATTGTAGAAAGAATTATTAAAGGAGTGAGCATGAGGGTAGAAGAGGAATAGGGTAGAGGAGTCATCAAATTGTCTGTAGATATATCATACATATGTATAATGTATCCATGCACATAAACAAAAACATAAATATCACGTCCTTGTTATGAATCTCTCTATATGACAAACCTGTTTCTATATAACTTATAAGCTATAAATTTCTTCTAGTAATAGTCATAGAACAACAAAATTAATTGTCATAAAGGTAACAAGGTTTGAAGACAAGGATGTGGCCGCTGATGCAAATGTGGGTCATACTGGGTGTAACATAATGGGATCGGTTATCGCGATCGTGAAATTATGTCTTGACTTGGCTAAGACCTTGGAATTCAAAAGAGACTTGGCCGGTTCTCATGTAATTCTGATTCCCACCAATATATCAGCGTGTATCGGGCTCAAACTCTACCAATTTCGTCACCACTCGACATAGTTCTAGTGACTCGACGACGAAAAACTACAAAAGATGGTCACTTCATACAAAATAATGCCAAGTGTTAAGTGTGTCTCCTCCATTCTATCCTCCTGTGGACTCTGCACGGATGGGACATTAATGGGATAATGATCATAATTTACTTTTTTGAATAATACAATTTTCATATAAAAGAAAACATATATTTTACAGTTGTGTCCTCTCCTTAAACTTCTGTAAGATTTGTAGCATGTTTGTGCCTGAAACCTATATCCATCTCCATGCTCCTTACATCTGATCTAACTCCTTCACTTAGCCTCAAAACCCATCCTATCAATAAAATAGGGTGAAAACCCTGATTAACTCTGATTAACGGGATAATATGACTTTTCAACATCAAGATTGTTGAAAAACATTGCACTCCACTTCTTGATCTCGCTCTCATTCACCCAAAATACCACATATCCTCCAACAAAGGCATTATGAGAAAGATAGAATATGACACATGACACATGACCCCTTTCAATCGTATTGCCAAAGTTTACTACGGTCACTACCCCACCAAGCTAACCAGAAGTTCGTCAAATACACCGCTCCCACCAAGGTCCAGCTAATTTGGTTGAACCCCATAAGTTGGAGGATACTATCAGAGACACAAACACACGTGGTTTTAAATGAATTGACCGCAAGTTTAGACATTTGGAAAAATGAGATAAAAATAATATATATATATCTATATATATATATATAAAAAATAATAATTAAAAAAAAAAAACATTTTATTAATTGTACTAAAATAATTAGAATTTTGTAACAATTATTAGAAGATTCATGGAAACTTTGATGACTAACTATAAATTTTGACTTTAGGTTCAAGTGACCACATCAAAGCGAAAAATTAACAGCTGCGAAAAATATGGACCAAGAATATTTGCACATAAAATACCACATAATTTCCAGAAAAAAAAAAAAAAAAAAAAAAAAAAAAAAAAAAAAAAAAAAAAAAAAAAACATAACTAACTGATAAAAAATCAAACTGTCAACTAGAAGACATAAACCAACCTCGAATTAATCTGTCAGCCTCTCTCTGATACTCCTCCTTGTTAAGCGTCAAAACTGGAGGCGGAAGCGAAACCGGCCACCAATCTGGCAACTTCTGCCCCTTCCGAACCCAACTCTTCGACAATGTCTCCGAACCTCTCACCACAGTCGGAGGAGTTTTCGATACCCTAAACTCATTCATCTCCTTCTTCTTCACCCCAACAACCACTTCTCTCCCCCCAAGACTCCGGTCCCTCCTCGTAACGACTCCACCACTATACCCATACCTCAATTGTTCCCTAAACCCTAACCCCAATTTCATCAAAACCCTAAAAGCAACAACAATCACACATCCCCAAAGAGCCAAACTGCCGATAAATTGCAACGTAGACCTGCGGCACGAGACTATAACCTTCCGATCATCATCCACTGTGATCAAAGTCTGCAAGTCCCGTAAAGCCTCGTTACCAGAGTAAACGAATTGATTGTACTTCAATTCAGAGAAACTTAAGAACCTTTCAACAGATGATGAAACTTTGTTCAAGGGTTCGATATCGATGGCCATTTGGAGTTTGGAATCGGACGTCGAGGTGGGTTCGGCGTCAGTGAATGGATTGGGATTGAGGCGGCGACGAGGACGACGGCGGCGGGGACGGAAGGATGAGGCGGAGTAGGACGAGGAGGTTGAGGGGGTGTTGGGATGGTGATTTCTAGGGTTCTGAAGGAGTTGGGTTCTGTAATTTAGGGCATTGAAAAGGTATGGAAGTGATGGTTGTGAAGAAGAGATGGAGAGTGATGGATTTACAGAGTTCATGACAATCACTCACTCTCTCACTCACATCCGAGCTCTCTGTAGTTTGAAGTTTGAACTTTGAAGAAACGACTTTTGTCGTTGAATGTTTGAGGGACTAAAGTGGGTCATGGGCCACTTTGACTGAGCTGGTCTATTTGGACCGGGCTGAGCTGGGGTAGGAGGAGGACAGCCCAAATGAGAGATCACAAACTCAACTTCAGTTTCCTATACGAAGCCTGTGACTTGTTTGGTTTTGTTTTCTTACTTCTTTTCTTTTCCTTTCAAAAAATAAAATAAAATAAAAAATTGAAAATTCATTTGATTAATTTTTTTTTTTTTTTTGGAAACATAATTTAAAATATGTATCCAGTTTCATAAAATACCTTTTTCTTATTAGGATGTGATAATCCATTTATAGTCCATTCAAAATAATAATAAGTCCATTTCAGTTTCCATAACCTAATTTGTAGCGCATCAGTAATTACTATCCAAATCCAAAAGCATCCAAGAGACTTTGAAACATCGTTATTTGTATCGAAGAGACTTTGAAACATCGTTAAAAAGAGAAGGGAAAAAAACTACTACTTTTTCAACAGATTGCATTGCCAACTGGTCTAATTTGCTGGAAACACAAACATGTGCTACTTATTTATGCCAAAAATAATTTTCATTGCACACCTTAACCTTAAAAAAATATAAAATAAAAATAAAAAAATGACTCATCTCATTTCTTTTGAGTAATTTTTTTAATGCCAAGAAACTATAGGAGGTTAATTTCACTACCCAAAACCTTCTACCCTTCAACAGATAATTTTGTACTCATCTTTTCCAAATTGCAATATTTAAGGAACACAGAAAGCCAACCACTTTTGCCATTGTAAAAATGCTCTTCCAAATTGCAGAATCAGACTTCTTAATATTGCAAGATCAGTAAGATATCTCCTTCTCATATTTGATCTTGAACCAAGCTGAAGCCACCCATAGAGAATCCTTACCTTGAAGAAAATCCGAGACCAACACACTTTTTGACGCTTTGTTAATGTATGAAATTCTCCTAATTCCCATACCCCATTCTAATTTAGGAAGAATGACTTTGGACCACTTCAGATGATGCATCTTCTTCCTTTAACTTGAAGATCAAACACAGAGGACCAATAATAGACATAAGAAGACAACACAGATTTGATAAGCTCTACCCTTCCTTCTAGAGAGCCCATTCCAAGAAGCCAACTTATAAGTAATCTTGTCAATGAGAGGCCCACGGTGAGAATTTTTAATTGCACCAGAGAATCAGAGATCAAAGGTAAACCAAGGTAAGTCGTAGGCAGACTCCCTCTTTGGACTTTCAAAATTCTTAAGATACCCCTAGTTCTTCTAAAATATTGAGAGAAGAAAATGCAGCTTTTTTCAAAGTTCACATGAAGACCAGAACCCTGCTTAAAGGTATTAATGACATCCAGCAAAGTAACGGCATTTGACATTTAAGCTTTGAGGAAAATGATCAGATCATCTGCAAAAAAGAAATGAGTCAATCATAAACCCTCCTTTCTCATTGCTGGACTAAGTTCAAGCTCCCCATTTTGAAGTTTCTGATCCATAAGCTGAGAAAAATACTCTGTAACTAGGGTTTCTTGTATTGTGTATACTTAAGGCTGTGTATCCATTCTTATAATTAAGGGCTATTGATCAAAAGACTAGGAATATGTGTATCTGAGTCATTCATTAATAATCATTCCCTTCTACCTATAATACTCCTGCAGACAAAAATTTGTCAAGTTTTAAGGAGTCTTTGAGTACAAATTTGTAACTATTATTATTATTTTTTTTTGGGTAAGTATTCTGTAACATGAGTTTTGTTGGTATAATTGGTTAGTTCATTCCAGTTTACACAACTTTCTTTGTAGCACATCAATAATTAATAACCAAATCCAAATGCATACTTAGGAAAACAACAATCATATCAGCAATATTATAGTTATTCATTTTGACATAGGCCTCAGAGATACTCAAGCCAAGCTTCAAGGGATTATTAGGACTCACAATTAGCAGTCCAACCATCATTATTAATCCCATGAATTCTCCAACCTTTGAGTATATCAAGATGAAATTTTCTTTTTCACTCTTGGACAATTATCCAAACTCTTGAAAGAGTCATGCAGATTTTCCTTATTCTCCTCCGGTAGCTTAGAAGACTTAAGAGACAAGGAACTCGGGAAGTTGGACACTTTTGCCATTGCTGCACGGATAAAGTTCTCGAATTTCATAAGTGCTTGTTTGATAACATCAGATAATTTGCAGTATAGACTGTATGCAGAATTTTTTGCTTCACTTATGTTCATTTTCACAGAGTTGTAAGAGGCTTCAACCTTAGATTTCATCAATGATAAAGCTTCACCAAGCTTCCCAAGAACTGCATTTTTTATGTTTTCCATTGAGAGGTACTATTAATCGAACAGATTGTTCAAATTGGATTATGTGTGTAACGACCCACTCCACCACATGGTATGATATTGTCCGCTTTGGGCCTGAGCCCTCACGGTTTTGCTCTTGGGCTTTACCCCAAAAGGCTTCATACCAATTGGAGATGACACACTTACATATAAGCACTTTACCTTTCCTCTACCCAGGCGATGTGGGACTGTGCACCCGTAACTCGAAAGTGTGGGACATCATTGTATTTATTACTCATTGTAGACACTAAAATTTAGTGGGCTTTGGTTTTAACGAATGGACCCATTAAATATAGGCCTAATGTTTAAATAAATTATTTAATTTACCAGGCTTGGTCCACTTAAATTATTTAATTAGCCCAGCCCAGATAATTAAATGAAACGATAATTATTCCTAATAAAATATATTTTGAATAATTATCTTTAACGATAATTATCACAATATAACCGGCCCGGCCCAGTTATAGTTTTATACTTATCAGGAGATGACACGTGTAATTATCCTATTAATCCAAGAAGCCTATAAATAGAGGCCTGGAGGAAGAAAAAAGGGGAGAGGATTCAGAATTTAGAAGTCTACAAATTCAGACACAAATTCAGAATTCAGAAATTCAGAGACTCAGAAATCCAGAGACTCAGAATTCAGACACAAATTCAGAATCGAAACCCAAAAGCGAAGAACATCAAGCACATCCAACAACGTGCCGTTCTTCATCAAATTCCACAGTGATTCAAGAACAAGCTCGTGCAGCCCTTGGATCCAACCAACCAAAAATAAGGAGATTGAATCAGAGGACCATTCTTTTTTTTGTAAAAGATATTACAAAGGACTGTACTCCACATTCATAAATTAATAAAATTCTATTTTGCTCCATATTTTGTTTCTATTGCAGACTTACAAAATTTGTGTGTACAAATTTGTGGCACGCCCGGTGGGACCACCTTTGCCTCTCATCTCTTTCTCCTACCATCAAGTTTCTTCTCTATCAGATTCTATGGCTCCCCTTAAGATTCAGACAGACAAGAAAGCCCAAAAGAACATCGCTATTGCAAAGGTCGACGCTAAAACCACCATGAAAAGTGGCACGAAGACCAAATTAAGCGATGGAAGTACCTTGACGGGCCGTGTGACACGTAGCAAGTCCCAGGCGATGGCGTCATTCAAACTTCAGCAAGATGTGGTGAAAACTAATCCTGCAACATCGGCGAACGTGAAAACTCAACATGTCAAAAACCTTGACATTGTTCCAGAGGAGGCTCCACCACCAGATTCACTTCGTTCTATCTATGATGCTCACTCTAGTGTCGGTTCACCCCCAGAGTCACCACGTCAGACTTCGGAGCAATCAATCACTTCAAGGAACGTGGATTCTCAAGGCCTATCATACTCAGATGTGGTTGCTGCTATGATGACTGGAGCTGCTACGGTGGAGGAATAACTAGCAACTATGGCTCATTCCATTGAGAACCTTACAAAGACTATTGAAGAAAAGGACTTGCAAATCGCTACACTAATGAATAAATTGGAAGTTCAGACCTTCAGTGAAACACCAATGCTATCCGGGAATCGTGCAACTTTCACACCACCACCGTCTGGGAAACCTACATCTTCCACAGCAATACTAACGGAGAATCCTAATTCTACAGCACAAGGTACTCACAGGGAGAATCCCAAACAGACGCCGGTGACAGAACAAGCGACTAGTCAAAACCAGACGCCGGGGATAGAACAGGCGACTGGTCAAACCAATCATACCTCTTCTTCAGTCTCTTCATTATCTGTCGAACAATTGCAAGATATGATAACAAATATAATCCAAGCTCAATATAGTGGTGTCTCACAGAGCACTCTCATGTACTCAAAGCCCTATACAAGGAGAATCGACAGTATGAGAATGCATGTAGGATACCAACCTCCGAAGATTCAGCAATTTGACGAAAAAGGTAACCCCAAGCAACACATTGCCCATTTTGTCGAGACTTGTAACAATGCCGGAACAGAGGGGGACTTACTAGTCAAACAGTTTGTCCGGTCCCTTAAAGGAAACGCGTTCGAGTGGTACACTGACCTAAAGTCAGAATCAATTGATAGTTGGGACCAGATGGAACGAGAATTCTTGAACAGGTTCTATAGCACTCGTCGTACTGTTAGTATGATAGAGTTGACTAACACGAAGCAATGGAAGGATGAGCCTGTAATCGACTACATTAATCGGTGGAGAGCCCTCAGTCTTGACTGCAAGGACCGTTTGTCAGAAGTATCTGCTGTGGAGATGTGTATGCAGGGAATGCATTGGGGCCTGCTCTACATTCTGCAAGGCATAAAACCTCGCACATTTGAGGAATTCGCTACGCGTGCCCATGACATGGAGATCAGTATGAAATCCCATGACGGCAAAAGTCCCGTGACTATAGAACCATGCAAAGATAAGAAGGACTGGAAAAAGGGCGACAAGTCATCAAAAAATGCGGCTAAAGATTCAATGGCTATCTCAACCACCCCAATCAAGATATCTGTTAAAGATGACAAGAAGGATGATAAAAAGCCTCGCCAGTTTCAAGAGAGGGAAAGACAGCGTCTTACGCTAAAGGAGTTAGAGAAGAAAGAATACCCCTTCCCCGATTCCGATGTTCCTGG